CCTCGCCTACTCACAATTGAAGAAGCGGCGTCTCAAGAATTCAATAAGATCAAAGAAGAAATTACAATAATTAGATTCTCATATGGATTTATTTCAAAAATGCACAATCCACTGTGGCTGAATTCCGAGTTCTTTTTATCATTGCTTTTCAAGGAAAATGTTAACACCATTCCAACAAGAGCGAGTCATGCATGGATGCCACCTACTTTGTTACAACAATCAAACAAAGAAAGTGACCAACTAGTAAATCAAGGAATCGTTTCATCACCAAATTCAATGTAGGCGTGCAAAGCCTTTTATATCAACAACCAGGCGGAACAAGCGAAGGGGAAGTTCAGACTAGTTATTGACTACAAACCCTTAAACCAATATCTACAAGATGTCAAATTTCCTTTCCCAAACAAGAAAACACTTCTACAACATCTCCAAGGAGCAACAATATTTTCAAAATTTGACCTCAAATCGGGGTTTTGGCTACTTGGAATTCATCTGGAAGAAAGATACAAGATGGCATTTTGTCTACCAAATCAAGATCTTCAATGGAGTGTTCTGCCTTTCGGTCTAAAGACTGCACTTTCACTATTCCAGCAAGCAAAATTACGAATATTCAAGCCCATCCTCCACACGGCTTTAATATACATCAATGACATTCTCTTGTTCTCTTCAAGTGAAAAAGAACATATTCAGTCTCTCAAGCGGTTTCGAAGCATTATCAAAGAATATAGAATTATGCTCTCAGCCCGAAAGATGATCATTTCCCAGCCCAACATCGAGTTCTTTAGAATGCAGATTACAAATGGACAGATTACACCACAGTCTCATCTAGCTACAGTTCTTATCGGTTTTTCGGAAGAAAATCTCATAAAAAGACAAGTTCAACAATTCCTTGGAGTAATCAATTATGTAAGCGACTTTATCCTGCAACTTTCACAGTTGACAAGACCACTCCAGAAAATGTTGATGAAGAATCCACCACAATGGACAAACGACAAACCAAAGCAGTTAAAAGGCTGAAAACAGAGATACAAAAGCTACCACCTTTATAGATTCCCTCCTCACGGACACATATTCTACAAATTGATGTGAGTGACAAATACTGGGGAGCTAATTATTCGAAGAAATAAATAGAAAATTTCAAATCTATGAATATAAAAGTGGACGCTTTAAAGATGCAGAAATGCATTATCACTCTACATTCAAAGAAATCCTAGCGGTCAAGAAGGTCATCGAGAAGTTCGAGTTCTATCTGATAGGACATAAATTTTGCATCGAAATGGATATGTCTTCTTTTCCAAAGATGTTACAATTCAAGCAAAAGATGGTCACACACCAGTAGTTATTATGATGGAGCGAATGGTTTACAAAGTACGACTCTGAATCCTTCTATTTAAAGGGCAAAAAGAATATTCTTGCAGACACGCTCAGCAGAAACCCACTAAAGGAAATTCATATGATGGCAGGCTCATCCACATCAGAGAAAAGCTGTTACGACTTTGAAGCCAACATGCCCGAAGACGCCCATCAGCTAATCGAGAGAAACACTTTACATGAGCATCTTCAACAAAAAATTTTCCAATATCAGTCCATCATCCTGTCAAAGCACGGCATCAACTGCCATTACATCGCACCAATGGGGATCCACCCGGACTATCCGTTCGCTCACCTCTACATGATTGAAAATTTAAATATGCCAGAAGAAGTCAAATTTTTTCTCCGGTATCTCTGCTCAGTTTAGACCATTAGCATTACCTTTGACATAGGATGACTGTATCAATACATCAATGCCCAACAAGGTCAAATAGATTGTCTCTTGACTTTCTTTACATGGTTTGCATCATTAACCATCTAGAGCGGAAAATTAAGAAGATCCGCAAAAGCAATGAGTTTACCATTCAAAAAACTAATAGGTCAAGGAGGTCTTAATCCTTTCTTCAAACCCCATACAATATACTTTTTCCATCGACCTGTTCAAGTCAACATCAAGTCCAACAAGCTTCATGCACTACCCACACTCATCCACCACAACGACTACCGAAGAGGAATTCGTCCAGACTTCAATATCCATGATAACAAGCCATACAAAGACTTCCAAAGACACGCTTTTCATCTCAACAGTGCCGGACAAACGTTCCTTGTACCATTCAACCCAAGCTGGATCTACAATTCTGTTGACTACCAAATGAGTCTCGATGAAGATCTACAATATTTCATGGCAAAACAACAAAGCATGGCAAATATTCTGAAGATAATAAAGCAGGATATTCCGGAGATAGTAAAACAAGAACCAGCATCTCAATATTCCCCACCAGAATATTTTCAAGATGCACAGCTCCCTGATGACACAATGAATATTGATGAAATCGGGAAAATGTTCAACATCGACGTCAATACATAATCATAGGAAAGCTTCGGGGAACCAAAAGAAGAATACGAATGTCCAGGAGATCATTACGACTGTTGCGACAAGCATATCATCAAGTTCGAAATGGATCACTAAATGAAGTAATTCTAAGTACTTCATTATGTATAATTATTAATAAGCGTGTTTAAATAGGTAAGCAATGATGATGATGTACGCGATGATGTAATCGTACAAATAATGTAAGCGATGATGTAATCGCACAAATAATGTAGGGATGAGGTAAGCGCTTTCAGCGCACCATTCCTCCCCTATATATATATGTGTGTACCCTCATTATAACAAGCCACCTCATAATTTTTATAAAATATCTCCTCACTCTAAGTTTCTCTCTCAAAAAATGAATATCTAAAAACTTTTTCGTTTCCAGACTTCCTAACATCTTCATAAACTTTGATTACTCTCTAACACCAGGAAGACACCATTGTGCTCCAAATCTATGGTTAAGCATTCTGATTTATTAATACGACTCTTGTCAACACGATATTCGTAGAGAGATAAATTTTTTAACAATGGTTAAGCAAACCAGAGGCCGGTAGTTGCCCAACGCTGCTCCTTACTTGGAAATCATCGCCTTCATCTTCAACACAACTTTAGTCAATAAGATATCTCAGAAGTTCTTCATAGATCTGGTATCAAAAGCAGACAATAATTCACCTAAAAATGGTGTAACAAATATTTTAAATGTCAACCTCTTAAGTAATTTCAACGTAGCCAAACTAGCTATAAAACGATCAACACCAAATCATCAACTCTCTCTAATTACAACAGCATAAGTGATGCAGGATGTTCGTTACATGATTTGGTGTTTGTTTTTTATTTATTTCTTTATTTCTATTAAAATTAAACATAGAATTTTCTTAACTAAGTTGGATTAAGATTACTCTATATTATTAAGTCGGCTAGGGTTTTTGTTTTATCTTTTATTATATATATGTGATTAAGTTTTTATAGCGTGAATCTGTATTAATTTATTTTCTTTATTAATATCTTTTGAATTACTAAAACTATAATATATTTATAAAAAAAATATTTTAAATAAAAAAATTAATCTATAATGTGTAGTTTTTTCTTATTTCTTTGATGTACATACATTTGATTTAGAAAATAATTTACTTACTAAATTCTTTATTTAAGATTTATTTGTTTAAATATTTATTTTTTGATTGCATGTCTCACTAATGTTGTGTATCTATGCATATATAATATGTGATTCATGTTGATTCGTATTTACTTTTGCTGGAATGCTGTAGTGATTGTGTAAACCTGCTTATTGCTTCTCCACCAGGTCTTATACGAATTTAAGCTTATATATCTATTCAGTTTATCATTAAAATCTGTTTTATTTGCAGTTTACTATTTGATAATTTTCGTTTCTAAAAATGTAGGATGGTGCGGAGTCTTCATACTATATTTTTACTATGTGTTTTATTTATGTTTTGATTTGACTAGTTTATCTAGGTATTCCAATCTGAATTTGATTTATAACTTTGTCATACTTTATTATTTAAATGAAAAATTTTAAAAATGTTAGTCATGTGTTGTTCATGTTGGCTCAGTTGTAAATAGTAATTATATATAAAAATCACACATAACTACTTATTATATTTCGAGTGTAAAGTTATTTGTATAATGTTTTTCTTTGGTAGTTTTAAAATTAGAAGCAACATTTATAATAGTATTTGTAAATTTAAATAACATGTTTGATTTAGAAAAGTGTTAGATTCATGACCGCGACCAACTTCTGTAGAGAACTTGCGGTATTTTCGGCTGATGTTTCCTCGTACAATTCTGATGATCAATGTGCCGTGTTGGTTCTCTGAGTGGTCTGAAAATGTAGGTTCCCTCTCTTTAGAATGCTGCTACTCACTCCCATGTATTTCACATAGAGTAGCATTTGATGACACATCATGATTCATGAAAACTGTGATTTGCTTTCACCAGTTGGCTTCCTCATCTTTCATATGCATAAGCAGCTTCTCGAGAGCCAAATGTATGTTTCGGCGATAAGGATGTGTCGTATCTCCTGATATAAACTCCAAAAACAAGCGAATTGCTTGCAATCGTGCTATATCTGACCTCTTTCTTGGCTTCGTTCTTCCTCATCATTCTTTTCACCATCAAGACATCATCCCATCTCTTATCTGGAGCATACAAGTTCCTCAGCAGAACATAGTTCCCATCATTCTAAGGCTCCAGTTCCAATGCCTCCTTCAGAATCCTCTCAGCCATTTATATATCTTTGTATTGACCACACGCAGACAAGAAAGAGTTTATAAGTATACGGTTTGGCTCAAAAGGCGTGTTTGTTATCAAATCCTCTGCTTCTTTTAGTTCCCCTGCTCTGCCTAGTAGATCAACCATACATCAATAGTGCTAAATCTTAGCAACCAGGCAAAACTCTTTTTCCATCATGTTGAACCATTTTCTTCTGTCCTCCACTAATCCACCATGGTTACAAGCTGAGAGAACCACAAGCACTGTAACATCTTCCGGCTTTACTTCTTTAAGCATTGCCAAGAACAGATCCAAAGCGGCAATTGCATTCCAAGATGCGACTTCTTTCTCTGGCATCTCATCAAAGATCCTGCTCTATCTCTCCGCATTTTGAGTACATATCAAGAATCGCTGTACCCACTTTCACTTTCTTATGGAGCCTTTTCCTCTTCACAAAATGGTGACACCATTCACCGAGACTGAGAGCACATGTGTCACAAATAGCTGGTAGCACACTCATAACAGTCACATCATCCGGATCAAGCGAGGTGGCTGTCACATCTTATTGTTTACTCTGACAGCATATCAGTGACTACAGTTGTGCTTCTCAACTCATCAAACAATCTTTTGGAAGAGGTCATGTCACCTGATTTGACATAATCCATCCATCATCGTGTTGCATATCACAACGTCCTTAGCTTCAGGCATCTCATCAAAGATCTCACTCACTACATCTAACTTCTCACACCTAGCATGCACACAAATTAGCTATCCAAGAAACCTCAGTTCGCTGAGGCATTTCATCAAAAACGCTACTTGTAAATCTCATCTTCCCGAATTTGGCGTACATATCAACGACTCCGGTCGAAAAATACATATCTGCACAAAACCCAAATCTCCAAATTTGGCCATGCAACTGTAAACCTTGGTAAACACACATACTCAAAATGCAGGACTTGGTCAACATCGTGAAAGTAAAATTGTCAGGAGCAAAACATGTCTCCTTCATAAGATCTCTGTAAAGAGCAAACGAGTCAGTACTGACGCGTTTTGAGAGAGGCCTTGATCATGGAGTTATAGACGAAACTGTCTTCTCTATGAGGCCTATGATCGGGCATAAATAACCCCAACAGCTGATGCGGAAGCGATCAAGAACTTGGTGAAGATCTGAACATTGTTCTCTATAGGGTGGCAGAGCAGGAAAGCATGATGAAAATCTGCCGTGTCGCTGGATTTGCTGGAGAAGACTAAAGCATTTTCTCTTAGAAGGAAGCCGTGGCTGTATAGTTTCTCGCTCATGTAGCATCATCATCTTCATCTTATTGCAACTACGAGCTCAATATTATGTTTGTGAATTCGTTGATCTTATTGATGTGAGGAAGTCTACATATATACCAGGAATACATAGGGAAATAAGGAAAGCTAAGATATAGGAATTAGGAAAGAGTAACTTACGCCTAACTATGAGCTGATTGATTGAGAAGATTAGCTTCTAACTATGTGCTATCTAATATATACTTTCTATAATTCCTATACACCCCCTGAAGATGGATGGCCAGAGGTAAGTCCTATATTGACAAACAGAATTTCAAAACATGCCCAAGATAATGGTTTGGTAAGGGCATATTCTAGTTGATCATGTGTAGAAACATGAGAGACCCGCAGCTGCTCTGTTTGTATGTAGTGATGAAAAAAGTGATAGTTTAATGCGATATGCTTCATCCTTGAGTGAAATACTAGTTTAGCTGCTAATTATATAGCTCCGATGTTATCACAGTAGATGATAGGTGTTGTTGGTGACTTGATCCCAAGCTCAGAAAGTAAGGATTGTACCCATATAATTTCGGAAGTTGTGGAGGCAAGTGAGCGATACTCGGCTTCAGTGGAGGAGCGAGCAACACCTGTTTGTTTCTTTGAAGACCATGCTACAGGGTGGCGTCCGAGGTAGAAAATGTAAGCTCATGTTGATGTGTAATCGTCTTTATTGCTTGTCCAATCCGGATATGTGAAGGCATGTAGTGATGGTGTGTTGTTTTCAAGAAGTGTGATGCCTTTCGTCATAGTCCCTACAAGATAACGTAAGATGCACTTGGCTGCATTCCAGTGGTCCGTTGTTGGTTTGTGCATGTATTGAGACATTTTGTTGACTGGAAAGGAGATATCTGGCCAAGTGAGTGAAAGGTATTGGAGACTTCCAACGACGGCTCTGTATTTTGTCGGATCATCTAAATCAGTTCCAAAAAACAGAGTCAGTCCTGTATTCAGACACATTGGGATGCACACTGGTTTGCACGTTTCCATCTTCGTCTAATGCAACAGATCTGCAATATATCGAGTTTGAGTTAGATGCAAACTCATATGATTCGATGATCCTCTATTCCTAGAAAAAATGATAGATCCTCCAAATATTTTAGTGAAAAATGTTTTGAAAGCAAAGCAATAAACTGATTTGTATGACTCAAATTATTTTCTGTGATTATTAAATCATCAACATAAACAAGCATATAGATGAGAACTCTCTATTTATTATAGATGAAAAGTGACGCGTCGGCTAGAGAATTAGTGAAGCCCGATTATAGAAGAAAATATGCGCAGATCGTTGTACCAAGCCCTTGGGGCTCGTTTTAAACCATAAATGACCTTGCATAGTTGACAAACGACATTGGGATTGTCTGGATCAATGAATCCTGGTGGTTGGCGCATGTAGACTTGATCTTGTAGAGTTCCTTGAAGAAAGGCATTATTGACATCTAGTTGTCGGAGTGGCCAGTTATGAGATACGGCTGTACTAAGAACGATCCAAATTATTGCTGGTTTGCGATCCAAATCGTTGCTGGTTTACCACTGGACTGAACATATCATGATAGTCTATGTCTGGGCGTTGACTGAAATCCTTGGCAACAAGACGAGCTTTGTATTTTGCTATTGATCCTTCGAGATGCTGCTTGATGCTGAAGATCAATTTGCAGCCTACAACATTAAAATGAGAGTCGTTAGGTAAGTTCTATCTATGGTTTACCTGAGCATTGTATTCTTCACTCATGACTCTGCGCCAATAAGGGCTCTTGAGAGCTTGAGCCACTGTCATTTATGGAATGTCAGTATTTTGAGTAACCGTCATGTGAAGATTCATTTTAATCACTTTTTTCTTTTCACGTATGCTATATCGTGTTGGTTGAAGTGGAGGTTTTGTAAGTGGCAGAGCCACTAGTGCAGCAATGATGGATCCATCGGAGCTGGCGGGGAGTTTGTTGAATTTGATGTCGTTGGTTGAGATGATGATGCTTATGTTGGCGAGAGACTTGGAGACAATGTAGCACTGGTTGAGCAGAAAAAATTATATGAGGCATCAGATCAGCTGGTGGAGTAACTATTACCGGAGAAGGTGTAATTGATGGCAAAACCGTAGCACATGAATGAGATGCATGCCCAGGTTCTACAGATGTTTGCGATGTAAGGTTTGTATGAATAGAAAACGGAAAATCTGTTTCATGAAAAAGAACATGATGTGAGGTATAAATTCTTGGAGTGTTACGATCTAAGAAAAAATAGACACTTTGTGTAATGGAGTATCCGAGGAATACACGATGTCAATCTAGCATCCAATTTATGAGATGCATATGGACGAGTCCATGGAAAACACAAACACCCAAATATTTCCGAAAAGACATTGAAAGAGTGATTTGGAATAAAGAATCGAAGTTGGCATCCTATAAATGAGATATACAGCCATCGCAAACGCATAAGTCTAATAAGACCTTGGCATAGACACATGAGAAAGAATGGCAAGGTCTGTTTCTACAATATGCCGATGACGACGTTCTACGATGCCATTATGTTTGGGCATATGCGGTGGACTTTTCATATAAAAAATGCCATGGCACGACAAAAAATCACGTAAACCAATGTTTATTACCTCCATTATTGGTGTATAAGGTGTGAAGTTTGGTTTGAAATTTATTTTCAACCAAAGCTTTGAACCGTGTGAATGTGTCAAATACTTGAGATTTTAATTTCAAGAGATACAACCAAGTGTATCTAGTAAAATGATCGACAAAACATAATATTTGAAACCATCGATATAAATAATAGGAGATGTCAACACATCTGAAAACACAATCTCAAGTGATTGAATCGATGGAAGAGTGGAGTTTTAAAAAGGTAACTTATCCATTTTATAAATAGGGCAAGCAGTGCAAGGATGAGCCAATACATCATTTGAAACTGTAGGTAATTGAAACTGAGAAACTACTTTTTGAAAAATTTGAAATGCAGGATGTCTTAATCAAGAATGTCAATCTGACAACATATTCAAGAGATGGTGGTTTTGAAGCTGAGGATTTTGGCCATTGGTATGTCCCGTCTCTAGGTTTCCCTTCTAGACGTAGAGTTCCCGTCTCCAAGTCTCTCACCTGAAAGTATGTTGGAGTGAAAGTAACGGAGACCCCATTAGCAGTGCATGATTGAAACACTGAAATCAAATTTTTGTCAAGAGCAGGAACACATAACACATTATTTAAGAAAAATGGACGATTGTAAGAGAGAAGAGATAATGAACCAGAGGGAGATAAGTGTAATCCAGAACCATTCCCAAGCAGAACATTGTCTCCACCACTATAAGGATTGTGGAGTGAGAGATTTTCTAATTCCGAGGTCATATGGTGAGAGGCTTCGGAATCTAGAAGCCACGTTGAAGAGTCTGACATCATGGCAGGATTTGCAGTTGGTTTCCACGGCTAATATTGAGGCAATGCATTCCAATTGTTGTGACGTGGTGATATATCATGATTTTTATGGTTTTTAACCATGATATAAGTCCTTTTTATTGAGTCTTTTTGGTATTTTTAGAGTCCTAGAAGAGTCTTTGCAGGTTATAGCATGTCTGGAGCATAATTGGAGATTTTGGAACCTTTTGGAGCATTCTGAGTGGAAGCCACGAAGTATCCAACTCGGGAAGAAAAGTATGCATATGGGTGACGCTCGTCACCAATCTGGTGACGCTCGTCACCCACCAAGGAAGGAGGTCGTGGCCTGTTTTTAAAAGATTGGGAAGAAATTGCAGTTTTGGCCCAAAAGTTCCAGTATTTGCAAAAAGACTCCAGATCGTGTTTTAGCTTGTATATTAGGTTTTTCAGTCATTCTTTTGGCAGATATCTTGTATCTTATTATTTTTGAGAGCTTTAGAGAGAGATTTGTAGCAGAGCTTTTGGAGAGACAAATCAGACTCCTTCAGAGCAGATTTCGAACTCCTTTATTTATACTTCTTATTTCTTTTATGCAATCTATTCTTTTCATGATGTTTTCTCAAATCACCATGTCTGAGTAGTTTGTTAGTTAAGTTAGGGCTTTTCAAAGGTTGAAGAAGAGTTTGAAGAATTACTAAAAACTTATAGGAAATTCATTGGTTCTTCATCTGTGCTTGCATTCATATCGATTTCTTAGACACATCATCTGGATTTCGAAATCCTAGGTTTTTGATAGATGTGAGAGCATTATTATTCACCTGAACTAGTATTAGATGAGCAAAACGCCCTAGTACAAAGAGATTTGGCTTAGGAGTTTTGTGAACAATTGAACCTGATCTTTACTGCATGTTTAGGTTGTTAGGGTTTGCAAAGAGATTTGAAACTCTGTGAGTTAGACATAGATAACTTCTGCAATGAGAATTGATTAGTTATATCTTTGCGATTCATGTTCAAGACGGTTTTAATTCATTCCTGATTGCATGCATTCTACACTCTCGGATTCAACCTGCGAACTGTCCTGACTTAGCGCCTTTAGCCTTCTGAACTTTAAGAACAAGCATAAAAACGCCCTCTTGCATTTATTTTACTGTTTTGCATTACATTCATTATTTATCGCTTAGCTTAATCTGAATC